ACAACTTGGGTTCAGAGAGAGAGATTTTCGAACATAATCACTTCTCTTACACCCTTAATTCTATTTTATTAAGTTAAACTTTGGTAATTTACAGAGAAGCCCTTAGTTGGGCAGAAAATTAAAAAGACATAACATAAGAAAGAATAAGCCCAGATTAAGGCCCATTACAGCAAAGAATAAACAGCCTATGGGCCATTCGGCCCATCTTCTCTACACTGTTAGAACTAGCTACATGCCCATAGGTCCCTTGCCACTTAGTTGGCTTCTTTTCTTTATTAAGAGCTGCTGGTTTCAAGTGGGGATACAAAATCCAGCAAGTGTCCTGATTGTAATTCAGGTACAATGACAAGGATGCCCTTAGTGGGACAGCTAACTCAAAAAGATAAGAAAAAGGGAACAACACTGGCCCATAACTAAGGCCCACTAACTTAACACACAATTAACAACACAAATAAAATAAAAAGATTAAGGCCCATTTGGCCCATCATTTCTACAGTCCCACTATTTATATCAACTTAATAAAAGAGACTTTACATAAACACCACTGTTTATGATAAAAGATGGACAGGAGTGTCCTCATTATAAAAACTAAAATGTCTAAACTACCCTGCCACCCATATACATTAGATTTCATTCTCTTCAACATAGGGCATGAAATATATTTACAAAGAATAACTTATTTTTATTTATAAATATGCCCATACTTAACTATGTCATCATATAAGATCCCTGAAAACTTTGTTGCAGGCAGACTGTGAATTAGTCAAAATCGACATTCATTGCCATATTCAAGGTGATGTTGTGCTTGAGTGCATCAACTTGGATGATGATCTGGAACGTGAAGAGATGATGTTTCGAGTTATGTTCAACACAGCCTTCATTAGATCTAATATCTTGATGCTTAGTCGTGATGAAATTGACATTTTGTGGAATGGCAAGGATCAGTTTCCCAAGGACTACAGAGCAGAGGTATGCATCTCTCCTGCTTCATTTGAATGGCCTAGTTCATGATAGTGTTTCTCTGATGAGTGCTACATTCTGTTTTGTATGGGTGAAGATTCTCTTCTCTGAAATGGATGCTGCCTCATCTCTTATCACAGTGGATTATCCTCATCTTGAGGAGAAGGAAGGTGTTCCTATGGAAGCATTTGCTAAAATTCAGGAGATCTTTAACAATGTGGATTGGCTAAATCCAAGTGCAGATGCTGCTATAAATTTTCTTCAACAAATAGAAATAGATACAGCAAATATTCTCCAAGATAAGTTGGAGGCTGGTTCTTTTCAGAATGATGAAGGTAGAGATCTAGTACAGGAGCCAAGTCCTGAAAAGCTTCCAGAGAAACTGAAGCCTGTGTCATCAGAAAATAAGATTAAGAGCTCCATGTCTGTGGAACTGGAAAAACAGACTCTGCCCTATAAACTATCTGTAGATTTAGATTCACCTAAAAGTAAGTTTCAACCAAACGAACTGCATGTTGCATTTCAACTACGTTCTCCATCAAAGATCATAACACAACGAATATCTCCTCTATCAAGTCCAATGTCGTATAATTCTCCACAAGGTTCACCTGTGGCAATATCAAGATATCATAGTGCACCCTCAGTTCTTGGTATTACAGCTCTCTTGCATGATCATTCTTCAGATGGGAGTCCAGACAGCCTTAATCTTCTGGTTGCATCTCCTCCTTGCTATTCACCTTCACCTAAACTTTGGGGGTCTAGTATTGTTTCATCAATACCACCACCACCACCACCACCCTCACTGCTGAATCCTTTGATGCCTTCTACCACAATAATTTCTTCAATCCCTCCATCACCATTACATCAACATCTATCAACTTCAAAATCATCAGCTCCTTCTCTAATGCAGGATCCTGGAACCTCTTCTTCAGATGGAGGCCAGTTATCACTGGCTTCTCCCTCTCCACCTCCCCCTCCCCCTCCCCCTCCCCCTCCTTCCTGTAAGGAGGCATCAGCATCTGTGATTGTCACTGTAGATTCAATTCCTCCTCGTCCTCCACCTGTGCCCCCATGTTTAGGTTCCACTGTTAAGAATTTATCATCAGTCCCACCACCACCACCACCACCACCTCCTTTTCCATCCAAAACTGTTTCATTCGCCCTCTCTCCTCCTCCCCCACCTCCACCCATGGAGAAGGATTTGCGACCCAAAACCATTTCATCAGCCCCCTCTCCCCCTCCTCCCCCACCTCCTCTCATGAAGAAGACAGATCTTTCATCTGGTCCTCCTCCACCTCCACCTCCTCCTATGTGTTCAGGAATTTCCCCAGGTCCTACTAATATATCTATTGCACCACCACCACCTCCTCCCCCTGGTTTTTCATTAAAGAGTTCTGGGCCTCCATTAAATAACTCTCCGCATGTTCCACCTGTGCCTCCTCCTCCAGCTCCTTTTCCAAATGGGGTTTCAAGGGCTGGTGATGGTTTCCCACAATCTCTTTCTTCAGGCAATAGTGGAGCTAGTGGTGTTGCTGGTCCTCCAACTCCTGCACCACCTTTAATTTCTTTTGGTATAAAGGGACGAGGGTTATCACGTAATACAAGTCCAAGGAATCAACAAAAGAAGTCTTCCTTAAAGCCATTGCATTGGTTCAAGTTAACACGGGCAATGCAGGGAAGCCTGTGGGATGAGATATCTAAGTATGTTTTCTCTTGCTTTGTATTTGCATTCTCTTTCATGTTACGAAATGTGACTTTTCCTATTTATAGGATTTCAGAATCATTTATATATACATATATATGTTTCTATGTGTGTGCATTTCTTTCGATGCTAGGTCTCCAGGGGTTGTTGAGATGCCAGAACTAGAGAATCTTTTCTCAGCAGCTGTTTCAAATTCTGAACGGGGCTCAGGTCAAAACTCAAGTCAGCGTGCCTCAGCTGGACCTAAATCCAATAAAGTCCACTTGGTAATTTGGCCATTGGTTCTCATATGATACCACATTTTTTTGATCAATATATGTGATACAACATTTACCTATAGTTAATTGAAATCTATTTTGTTACTCAAGGGTGTGGCTCGTTTAGATATTGTTTATGCTCTTTGTTAAGAATTAAGAAAGATTTTCCCCATTTAATGGGAAGAGGTATTTGCAAATCATAACAACAACAACAACAACAACAACAACAACAACAACAACAACAACAACAACAACAAAGCAATTACTACTACTACTGCTACTGAGATATTTGCAAATCATAACAACAACAACAACAACAAAATAATTACTAACTACTACTACTACTACTATTATTATTATTATTATGATAATAATCATCGTAGTTATTATCATCATTGTTATCATAATCATTTTTACCATTATAGTTATTATCATTATCATTATGATAATTATAGTGATAACAATGATGATGGTAATAATAACAGCAACTGCAATACTAGGCCCAATAAACCACGACTAGTCTGTCAACAAACATATATGCTCAGCTTGAGGGGGAGTGTTAGAATACTTTGTATGCACAATTAAGGCTAGTGATATAATTTCAAAAGATTAAATATGATACTTTCGTTTTAGTTGACTAGAACAATCAGGTGTGCTCTTTCATTCTTTCTGTTCTCCTTTCCTCTTGTTTCTCTCCATTTTCTATTTCTACCTTCTTCAAGCCCTAAATCTTTAATTTCCTCAAAATAAGTTTTAGTGATTAGATTGTCATGAGCAGAACTTCAATTCTGCCTTTGATATCTCATAACATCTATCTATTATTCTTGCAGATTGAGCTAAGGCGGGCATATAATTGTGAAATCATGCTTTCAAAGGTCAAAATTCCATTGCCAGATATGATGGTATGCTAATAGATAGCATTTCAAGTAGCTAAGGTTTCCATAGAGGCTAGTTTGATTATAATTGTAGAAGGGCCATAAAAATGGTCTTTCTATAACTTAAAATGCTTAATTATTTGAGTTCCAGACCATGTGTTTTGTCTCTTTCTTCCATTATCATTCTATCACCTAGTCCTTGGGATGTCCATCTATGCATTCTTTCATATAGAAACTGTAATCATGTCAGGAGCATTGCAGTAATAAACAGCTTTTGATTGATTCTTCCTGTTGATTTTGCCTTTTCATTACAGCATGCTGTACTTACACTGGATGAGTCAGCATTAGATGCTGATCAGGTTGATAACCTAATTAAGTTTTGTCCAACAAAAGAAGAGATGGAACAACTGAAGGTAGATAATTATTATTTTTTCTTTGCAAGTCATAAATCCTGGATATTTTTCTGTACTGTGTACTCAACTTCAAATATTTCATATTTCCCTTAGATCTTGAGATAAAAGTAGGGAGGTTCTTTTGGAAATTATACTCTGATATTCTTTTGAAGCATTTTAAGTGCATTCACTTTCATACACAGGGCTACAATGGAGACCCAGAAAACTTGGGGAAATGTGAACAGGCAAGTCAGCTCCTACTCTTTACTTGATTTCCTCCCCTCCCCCACCTGAATCTTTGTCTTGCTAGGAAAGAAAATATAACGTATACTTAAAAGTGTTCATTAATGTTATGTTTAGTTTGAAAGAAAAGGCCAGGAAAGGAAGGGAAAGGTAGGGAAACCTGGTACAGATTTCTCCACTTTTCCCTTTCTTTTCCTACCTTCTCTTTCAAACCAAACACAGCCTAAGGCATTAAGGTTGTCATCTATTAGGTTTATAAAAGCAGCATGAGTTGATGGTTTCAGTTCAAAACTACTTTTATTAACCCATGAAATTACATGATTGCTTTTCTGCTTGTTAATTAAAACCTGGTCTGAAAATGTATCCAATTCTCATTCTCTGGTGCAATTTTGTAACAGTTCTTCTTAGAGTTGATGAAAGTTCCACGAGTTGAATCTAAGCTTAGAGTTTTCTCATTTAAGATACAGTTTCGTTCCCAGGTCAGAGTATGGTGCAATATATCTTGTTTTTTTTTCCAGTATTACCTTGTTTCCTGCTATCACTTTATATGGCCATTTCCTTTCCAGGTTTCTGACCTTAGGAACGCTCTGAATGTTGTAAATTCTGCATCAGAAGAGGCAAGTTTTTCCTCTTACTTTTCTAGTATTTCTTTTGCACTCAATTAGGTATTTCTATGAAGATTAGAATCTCATAAACACTGAGACCAATGTGTGTATCAGATCAGGAATTCTGATAGATTGAAGAGTATCATGAAAACAATTCTTCAACTGGGAAATGCATTGAACCAGGGAACTGCAAGGGGTAAGTTGAAATTCGATTGGTCCAGTATATTAGCAATGAGTACTGTCAATGTGTCATATATTGTTGAAACATGAAAGATCCAAGTGTGTGCAGCCTTAACAATAAAAGAAAAAGGAGAAAAAAACTAGAGAAGAAAGTGTAAGAAGAGGAAAGAAGAGAGGAGAAGCAAACTGGAATAGAACTAGGGATGCAGTAGAGAGGAGAAGATGAATTAACTTCATCTAATTTCCGCCCCACTTTTATTATTATAGTAAAATAAACTATTCTAACACTCCCCCTCAATCTGGAGCATAAATGTCACAAAGCTCTATCTTGTTACAAATATGATCCATGCGAGTATGGCTCAGCCCTTAAGTAAAGAGATCGGCCAACTGATATTCTGATTTTACATATGGAGTAACCACTTCTCCAATAAAAACATTCTCTCTCACAAAATGACAATCCACTTCTATGTGTTTTGTCCTTTCATGAAAAACAGATTAGAAGAGATGTGAATTGCAGCTTGGTTATCACAAAACAGCTTTATAAGTTTAGTAACCTCTACTCCAAGTTACTGCAACAATTGCTTCAATCAAACCAGCTGACAAGTAGTGTGAGCCATTACATTGTATTCTATTTCAACACTACTCCTGGGTCCTGGCTATCACACTCTATTTCTTACTCTTCCAGGTAATTAAGTTTCCATAAAAAAAGTGCAATATCCTATAGTGGACTTCCTATCTGTTATTGTATCCGAGTAACCTTCTAACACCAACTCTCCCCCATTTCTATACAGTAACCTATTTCCAGGAGCACCTTTTAAACAACGTAGAATTCTAACAACACCTTGCTAGTGCCTAATTCTTAGGTTTTGCATAAATTGGACAAGTTCTCCCACATTGAATGAAATGTCTAGTTTGGTGATAGTAGATAGTCTTTCCACCAACCTCTTTTACCTTCATGGATCTTCCAAAAGCTCCCCCTCACTACCAGTGATCTTAGTGTTCGATTCAATAGGGGTTTCAACTGGCTTAGCCCCTAGTAACCTTGTTCTCTCCTGTAAATCAAGTACATAATTCTGTTGTGAGATTGAGAAGCCAATGATGCTCTATTGTGACAACCAAGCAGCTATCAATATTGCACATAATCTTGTTCAACATGATTGAACTAAGCACATTGAGGTTGATATACATTTTATACGGGAAAGAGTTTCCTTAGGAGAAGTTTGTTTGCCATTCATCACCTTAGAAGACAATTGGCTAATATTTTGACCAAGGGAGTTATGAGAGGGAAGCTGACACACTATATAAGCAAGCTAGGCATGATTGACATCTATGCTCAGTTTGAGGGGGGTGTAAAGAGACTGGGTTGAATGGGCCTTAGTATCTTTTCTTGTAGTATGTTTTTATTTATCTGTTAACTAATGGATAATAGGCCCATCTTAATGGGCCTGTTATTTCTTTTTTGCTAGTTCTCTTTATGTTATTGCCTAGCTGGCTGCCCACTTAAGGGTATACTTGTAATTATGCTAAGATTGAAGTTTAGTAAAAAGGATTAGAGAAGGAAGGGAAGAGATATTCAAACTCTTCTTCTTCTTCCTCTTCTTTTCTCCATCTTCTTTCTTTCGTGTTGCTGTTCTCTTCTTTTCTTCCTCTTTTCTCTCTAAATTTTCCAAGTTTACATCAGTTTTAGAGGACTGATTTACATCTGATGTGAAGACTTAGTCACAACTAGAACAAGAGGAATGGRGTCCTCAAAGGGAACTGGAAGTGGAGGTGGAGAAGAAGAAGAAGAGAMATCGCCTAACCCAGAAAAAAACGAAATAGACTCAATGAAAGTAACATCAGGATACACAAAGGAACGTCGAGAACTGGGTTTATAACACTTATAACCTTTATGAGTCTGGGAATAGCCAAGGAAGATACACTTAGTGGATCATGCATCTAATTTGCCCATTTCAGGCCTAAGATTATGGACAAAGCACACATACCCAAAAACCCTGGGAGTAAGAGGAAGCAGAGACAAGGTAGGAAACAAAATGGTGAAAGGAGAATGACCTTCAAGGATGGGCATTGGTATCTAGTTAATAAGTGCAAGATGTAAGCACAACATCACTCCAAAAACATTTGGGTGCATTCATATGGTGCAAAAGGGACCGAGCAGTTTCCAAAAGATGGCAGTTCTTTCTCGTAGCCACCCCATTTTGCTATGGGATGTAGGTACATGAGGCTTGATGGATAATGCCATGTTCCAAATACTCCTGAAATGGTGTATAAAAGTATTCTCGGCCCTTGTCAGAACGAAGAATCTTAATGTGTACACCAAATTGATTGTGGATTTCGGCATAAAATTTTTGGAAAATGAAAAACAATTCATTCCTTTCTTTCATAGGATAAAGCCATGTCATCCTTGAATAATCATTAACAAAAATTACAAAGTATTTGTAACCATTGTATGAAACTATTTTATTTTGACCCCAAATGTCTTAATAAACTAAAGAAAAAGGACTCGACATCTGATTATCAACCCTAGGACTAAAGGGAACACGATGATATTTCCTTAACTGACATGACTCACAATCCAAAACAGAAAGACGACTCTCAAGGACAGGACAAGTTGTTAAACAGTTTTGTATGCCCTTAGCTTCAATCAGAATGATGTACTTTATGAGTTTATTGTAAATGAATAAAAGTGCATATTTGATTCATGTTCCCTTGGTATGTTTCTATGTAATACCCTTAAACTGGACACTTAATGAGACTCGTGTTAGTTTAGAATGTTCACAGCCAGTGGGTCGGTCT